CTCGAGATTTTCGCGCAGAAGACAAACGAGGCCTTGGACCCAAAGCCGAAACCCCCAAATTCCAGGCTGTAGAGTTTGGAGTTCTACTGTAGACTTCGGGCATTGTTGGTGGCACGAGGCTTGAGGCAGATGCAAAGCATGAAGATCAGATCTTCCTGGGCTTCGAAGGAATGCTTGGAAGAGATACCGGAAGTACCCAGCGACCTGGCTTAACAGTGCATTCGACTTGTTGATGCAGACAAAAAGGGAATGCCAAAAGCTTTTCTGCCGCTCGCTTCACGAGGTCGTGATCGCCTAGAGCAGCTGCAGGGACAGGCTCATGGAATTTCAAAAAAAGCTTTGGTTTCTGAGTTCGGTTCGGCCGTGCTCGGCCGACCACCTTTGCTTTGCGGCTACCAGCGGTGTTCAAGAGGCATGGCTTTGATGCAATGCTTGCAGTAGCAGGCTTGGCTGTTTCTACAGGCTACATGCATCCCGCATCAAAATGCGGCTCATCGTGGTTTGGCCAAGCAAGCAACCGAGCAGTGGACAAGCACTTCAAAACTGACTAAAAGCTTGCTAGTGACCTAATTGGTTGCATCGGAGCCCCTTCAACCAGGCTTGCAAGCCTTTAGTCAGCTTTGAAGTGCTTCATCCCGATCGTTTGCGTTGCTGGCTACTGTCATACGCGACATGTGTCCAATGCTCGGCATCGTTGACGCGCATGCACCTGTGAGACAGCATGGTACGTGTATGAAACTCTAAGGGTTAAGATGTGGATAGCTTGCATGAACTCAGATGAGGCTTTCTGCTGCAGTGCACCCTCTGAAGCCTTTAGAAGCCGTCATCCCGGAAGCTGTCACCACAACACAGAGCTTCAGCTCGCAGGTCAAGGCTGAGCTGGCGCAGTTGCTTGCTATTGCGGAGCAAGCAAAGGCGCCGCTTTCGTTAGATTGGGCGAATCCGTTGCTTCGGAGGAGTATCTATACAGCCTATGACTCGAAGACGCAGGCAGGTGACAGGACGAAGAGATGAGGCCTATAGGGCCTATAGGAGAGAGCTTGTGTATCAGCCAGCGCTCTAATGCACATCTCAATGCCTGTATGTACATATGCGTATGTACGTATGTACGTGTTTACGTATGCATGCCTGTGTGTATGCATGCATGTATGCATAAAAAAACAAGCAGATGCACAAATTATTTAAAAACGTACGGATTTATCTGCATACTCCTAAATTTAATTTGCTGACTATGTGTATATATATATACACATGTGTATACTTATATATACATATATATATATATATGTGTGTGTGTGTGCACAGCTAGATACACACACACACACACTTCATGCCCGTGTTTGTGTCGGGACGTACTTATGTGGGCAGGTATGCAGCTGCGCGCATAAGAGTGTAAGCCGGTACGCAAGTGCGTATACTGTCCATACACCGAGTGCCCTTGCAACCAGACCATTGATTGCATGCAGCTCATGTATCCTGGGCAAACTTCGTACATCGCACTCCTACGCAACCGGCATAGACTACATACAAAGTAAATAAGCGAGAAATGGAGATATAGAGAGACATACAAAGAAGAACGAACTCGTGGAATGAGCCCTGGAGTTCCTGCAGAATGCGTGATGAGGAAGGCTATGACTCTGACAACAAAGTCTGGTGCCGTTTTCCCTTCCCTCTCCCGTCCGACATATGTCCTCTGCGAGGCCAGCGCTGCTTCTGCAACTGCCACTCACGGTGGAGGGTATTCAGAGCAGTCGCACGCAGCATAAAATGGTCGCTGCAGGAGAACTCATCACAAATCTGCGAGCTGTATGGTGGGTCGTCGTCGTCGCAGTAGCGGTAGCGGTTGCGGTTACGTTGCTGTTATTGTTATTGTTTGTGTCTTTGAGTCTGAAGTGCCACATGCATGGCTGCATAGCGGCTATGCGCCGGGCAGAGGCAACGGAGCCCCGAAGCAAGCAACAAACTTGTTATTAGTATTGTTGTTGTTGTTGCTGTTATTGTTCTTACTGGTGGTGTTACTTTTGTTGTTGTTGCTGATGCTGTTGTTGGCGTTGTACCACATGTACGAATGGCTGAAAGCTTTGGCGACAATCCTGGTCATCAAAGAGAGTGCAGTCACTTGTGGTCTCACGGCCTCCAAGCACTTGAACATGTGGCAATGGCGAATGAGGTCCCTGGAACGAGTCCCCTGGATCCTTCAAACCCATCCAGAAGATTCAAGCTGGTCAGGGAACTACCCAGTCGGACGCCATGACCGCCAGGCTGATCGTTGGGGCCTCGGGCCATTTCGTCGGGTCAAGGCGAAACGTATAATCTAAACGGAGCTGAACCTTCCCCTTCGTTCATGAGGATATGCCAAGTCTCATTAAAACTGACAAAGTTGAGATCCTCGCATCCACTTCGAATTCTATCTACGACCAGACCTGCAGGAGCTGTGGTGTTCCCAATCGCATGATTGTTTTCATGCCTAACAAGGAGCAGTCGCGGGTCCGCATTAAAATCAAGATAGACCACAAGCTGGGAGCCGCCAAGACAAGGAAACGGCCCAGGCTCGAGACAAGCGCCAATCAGACGCGAGAAGAGCCAACGAGATGATGGCTGGTGGCATTAGCCACAATGGACAAGCCGCAGCTGGTGGGAGTCGCCGGACACTACAGGCGTTTCTCCAGCAGCTGGAATTGGAATCCGCGTTGCTGACTCCCACCAGGGGCCTCTGGCCACTTCCCTGCCGATCAATAAAAGGCACTGCCTTCCGACTTCGGCAAACTTTTGCTTTGTCGGTGACATACGACCACCATCTTTTTGCACACTCGTGCCAGTCATTGGCGACACTCGAGAAAAAAAGGAGTTGGCCGCCTTTGCATGCGCCAGGCTTTACAGCTCACTGCCAACATTCGTCGGTGCAAACTCGGGGAATTGTGACGCCAATTCCGGGCAAACTTGGCGGCTACTGTAGGTCGACCGTGCTCCTGCTGTGTAGAGGTCTTCCGAACCTCTCATGTTCTCGCCGGTCCTCCTGGATACGGGGCAGCCGCAGCAGGCAATCGTGTTCGGTGGAGATTGGGACGAAGTCTCAATGTGCTTGTCGGCTCAACTGAGTACGGCGCAGCGCAGCGTGGCAGCACAGTGTGGATCGGTCAAAGCGAGCAGGTAGTAATAACAGTTATAATTATGTAGCCCAGGCATGTTTCGGCCACAAGATCAGATTCATGTCAAGTGAGTGCTTGTGGAGGTAATACGCCCGCCATGTGTGGAGCCCGCTCGCGCTGCATTCAATTTCACGAATTGTAATAACCATCATTGTGCTTGTTTGTTGTCGTCGTCGTTGTTCTTGTTGTCATTATTCTCTTCTTGTCCTTGTTGCTGTTGTTGTTCAGTTGCTCAGCCGTTCACTTGTTGTGCAATTGTTCGATGGCATGCAATCCCGGGTACCGGAGCTGTGGGCGTGCTGCTGGCAGCGTTTAGCTCCCGAAGCAAGAAGAAAAGCAGTTTTGCAGTCCGTGCGCAGTAGCACCGTTGTTCCGATCAGCTTCAGTCAAGAATTGGCACTCCTTGATGTAATCATATCCATGACTGACTACTGTCTTGGTTTCGATGACCAGTTCACGCCACGAGGTTGTGTCATGCTTGGCTGGTCGACTTTCCCCACTTACGAGTGAGCTCCCGGGCTGATATGTTATCCGGTGCGTCTTGCAGATTCTTGCATAGGTCATGTCTCGGGAGCCGAGTCCAGGTTCGGACTCAAAATTTTGAGACATCTTGGACTTGCATTTGAGCGGGAGGATTGTGAAGATCTGATAGAAGCGTGCGTCTATGTTTGGGGTCGCCTGCTTCTTGGAACAAATTTGAGGTTAGATGTCCAAGTATCTCACAGGACTGTAATCTGCTGCTATGAACGGCTAAGCATGATAAATTTCATAGATCTCAAAGCTTCAACCCCCCTTCACAGCACCTGCTTCAACCCCCTTCACAGCACCTCAGGACCGTAGGCACGACAGACACCTGATTTCAGTGTGTTGAACTGCCCACCACATCCCATCCCGAAAGGAGTCATTCCTGCAAGCGCAGATCGTAGCATCTTCGGCTTCGTTGTTCGAAGCAAGACATCCTGCAATCTGCATATTATGCGCCGTCCCGGAAATAGGTTTCGCGGGCTTCTCGATCTTTTGTACGTTGCCCTCGCGAGTGATTTTAACAAGTACAGTGAAAGAAAAAGTCGCTCAAGGAAAGTACGATGACACTTGGAATGTGTACAGATTGTATTCAGATATTTCCGAATGTCTGCAGGCTTGCCCATTGGAAAGATTGGGACCAAGCTGGCGAAGAAAATTTGTTCCAGTTCATGTAGTGTTTTATCAGAATCATATTTCCTGGAAATCTTGTTTTGTTTCTTTGAGATACCCCGAGTATATTAAGCTCCTAAACTGGTACCTTGACACCACAGACTCCGAATTCTGCGTGAGTCCTCTCGACGCGTCCGAGGCATTGCACATGAAGGACCTTTGGCCACGGATCGGCGAGTTCGCGAAGACAAAAGATGCTGCACATTGACGCAGGCTGAGCATCAGGACTTCATGTCAGAGCGCGCTAGAAGAAGGGTACTCATCAGTCATTTTTTGATTAGAGTACCCGGATCGCTCAACGTGGGGCCTCGAAACTGCGATCGTTAACGACTTCTTGTGGAGATTTCGGGCATTGCACAGCTGCTCTCCCTGGCTCTACCTTAAGGGGTGTGGTCTTGGCGCTTACACGTTGTCTGCCTCTGAGAGAGCTAGGAGCAGCTTTGGCCTTGGTCCTTGGTCTTCTTAGCGTCACAGGGAAGCACCCGGGCCCTCTGAAGCCGAGAGCATGGAGCCGGACGATGACAAGCCTAGGTCTACGCTTCGGAATATGAGTCTCGCAGCACAAAATGCCAGAAACCCCGAAACCCCCAGTCATAGCAACCTCCTCGAAGACAGTTAATGCTTCAGTTGTAGCATGGGTCGCATGTGGCATTCGCCATGGACGCCACCTTTGCGCAGTCCCTTCGCCGCGCTAACTTGTAGGCCCGTGTAATTACGTGATTGAGTCTTATTCGCGGTTCGGCTGCGAGATCATGACGGCCGAATGCCCCTTCGACATAAGAGCAGTTCCGTTGTCAGAGCAGGCCTGGAATGCTCGCAAGGATAGTTGCCGTCATTGGCTGCACTGACTGGCCTTAGTACTGGTTTTGTTTGTTAGCTTCTGCATAGGTACAAAGCTTAGGCGCATCTCGGACAGAAAGCCCACACACAGACCACAATTGCCCGCAGCCACGATGGCAGCCCATGATTGGTATCCCAACCATCCGTTCCAACAAACCCTTTCATCATAGGTTCCGAAGCGCGCTTAGCGGGCCGTTGCCGGGGCAAGCGACACAAGCTGTTCCTCGAGGAGGCCCGATGCTTGTTCGATCGTCGGTGCTCGCAATGCTGACCGGCTCTACATCCCTGTGCTTATACTGTAATGATTTGGCCCTAGTTGCTTACTCGGTCTCGCAGGCAAGGGCTGACGGCTCCATCTGCAGGCTACAAGCCATGAGCATCTACTTCCGGATGCGATAGAAACTTGTTTCTTTCACCTACGGTGATGGGTTAGGGTTGGAACCTCGACTAAATGCTCAGTCAAGCAGTTCCTAGAATCGCGGTCATGACTTCAATGAAGGGCCACGAAGGTGCCGGAAGTGCCACGAGACCCGGCTAGGGGTCCTTTGTGGGTGGCACTACTTCAACAGAGCATCGCCACAGGAGCCTGTGACGAGGAGGCCCAAACCAGCTTGAAGCCACCACTAGCATGCCAGCGTACACCGAGCCGACGCGCTGGAGTTGTAGGCCAGTTGCCTACATGTCGCGAAAAACGGCAGCATCAGACAATTCTGCCACTGCTGTGCTGGTCAAGGCACCGGTTGAAGTGTGGATAAACAGACGGATACGTAGCGGCCGCAAGTCGGAAAGGTCATGCGAAATTCTCCTGGCGTGTTGAAGGCCGGCACCGGAGATCAAACTCACGTGCGCCACAGTCCTAGAGTCACTCCGGTCTGCATTTTCCAATGACGACCAGATCGGCAAAGAGTGTCAACACCGATGCCACACGTCTGACCGAAAAATCACGGCCTCTGTCCTAATCGTGCCTGAGCGAAAGAGAACACAATAGTGTAGTGCAAGTGGGCCTCAGTGGCCAGTACAAGTAAGTCGTATTCGTGTTTGGGAGGCACAACTATTCATTTTAGAAGCAACCTGCGCTCTCCCACTCCCCAAAGTCCCCCGACCCCAGCCCTCCCCCTTGGCGCGGCGCTGGTTGATGATCTCAACTCGTCTGGGGTTGTGTGAAGGACCTCGATAGTGTGCCGTGCATACCTTGGAGCATTCGAGCAGCATCATAACTGAGATTGATAATGGTAAGGATCCCGCAGCCATCCCAGCCTTGTCGTGCAGGATGCCTAGTAGACCGCCGAATTGCAAAACGACCGAAGGCTCATACGACAGAAATGAACTTATAAGTCGTCATAGTATTCAGAAATTTATGGTCCGATCCTGTGCGCACAGCTTCGTCCACTGCCTCCTATAATCGGCTCGTTGGGCCCTCTCCCAGGCTCCTGAGCCATTGCTTCAAGCCTTGTATCATGTTCAGGGCAAGTCGATGATCCTGGAACACGCGCGCGCAGTCGACTCCAGCGTCATGCGACAGGCGGCCAGCGGGCATTGCACCTCGGCAAAGGTTCTGAAAGCCTGCTTGGCCGTCATGCTGCCTTTCTTTAAAATTGAAGTCACGAACAAAAAATCGCGCCTCGCCACCATTCTAGTGAAAGTGAACCCTTCGTTTACAACAGCATGCACAGCAAAGCTTGCACTGCACGCGAGACATAGGTCGCGGGGCCACAGCCGCGGTCGAAGCCGCAGCTACGAGGCGACCTTTTGCTTGTACTGAGTGCCGCCATGCAAATAGCACAAGCTTTCGGCATGGAACCTTCCAACATGGTGCGCTTTGACAGATGGTACCCGCCCTTTGGTACAATGCTTGCCGCGCAACATGAGGAGTGTTTTATTGGCTCGCAGGCACCTCCTTGGCTGCGTTCGCGCAGCGCCAGTCAGAGGCGGAGCTCGTCCCGACCGGCGGATCCTTTACCGACCGACCCTCGGCAGCAGCTGAAAAGGATCAGGAGCCTGTAGAAGCAGGCGAGTAGGGTTCAGGTGGGGCATGCTCAGCGCACATCAAGCCTTCAACTCACAGCCCAGAGAGAGTGTTTAAGAAGGCTTGGAGGTGCTTGGACGATCGCATAATTGTGGGCCTCCCGGGCGCGCCGACGCAAGTTCTATGTTCAGATATTGCAGGGATAGCATTCCTTGACTTCGGTTCTAAGCCGTACAATGTCCAGAGATATGCCATTGAACCATTGCATTCCTTAGCCCGTTGAAGGAACAGCATTTCGTCCGTTCTGGAGCTGTGGACTGGACGCAGATGGTGGGCAATGAGGTCGGGCTTTGGACGATGTGCGGCTTCGTCGAAGCCCGGGCTGGTGATTCCATGTGTCGAAGCGGCAAAGTCGCCGCCCCTTGTGTCGTAGTAGCTCTGTACTACTAGTAGCTGCATTTGTGTTTTGAGCCCAGCCGCTGGTAGCAGGACTTGTACAAGCATCGCCAGCAGAGGCCCGGCACGACCCATTCGGAGCTTGCGCTTCCATGCCGAGTTTCCGTCGCACCATTCAACCATTCACTTCCTGCCAACATCAAGCGCAGCCGCATGAACTTTTTCAGAAGCAGTAAGGGATGCCCGGTGTTCTTTATTGGGTGGTGTTGCTTGCTGCTTGCCCCAAGAGTGCAGTCATAAGCGCAGGCTGACTATTGGCGATTTTGTGCCGTGCGATCGACGAGACACTCGGCCCGGTAGTTTCGCGACATGACCTGCCTGGGTGCGAGGTGCAGAGTGCAGAATCCAGCTTCCAGTCCGGTAAACTAATCTATCGGAAAGCCGATGTAAAGACTCTGCACTCAGACTCAGGAGGTTCGGCACATGTCACATCGTTCCCCGAGCCCCGTCATCGTCTTCCCAGACTCTGTCAGCAGCACCCCGGCTCGCGATGTTTTTGGCTTCAGATGGGATCATTCGTTGCAGTTCGAAGTTCCAAGCATTAGGACGAGCTTCCGACGTGATCCCTTTCTTGTTAGGAGACCTGACACCAGAGCAGCAGAGAGCTATGTTAAACTGTATGAATTCTTCGAAGCCTGCAGGTGGGGCCTCTACTGGCCTGAGCTTCGGCTCGCAGCCTGCAGCGGAAGACACTCGTCGAAAGAGTTTGCCTGTTGGTTGGTTCCAAATACATCCGACCGAGGAAGCTGCGGTGAATCCTGGCGTCCCACGCCACTCGCTTAACATGTGCTGTCCGATGTGCACAGGGCCGTTGACCGCAGTGCTTCCAATGCCCACTGCTTTGAGCTTCCAGGCAGAAATCGATGGAATCTGGGCTGGTTCCGAGAACATGTTTTGTCCGGTATCTGGAAGAAACGCACAGAATATCACGGCAGAAAGATCGACAGTCAAGGAATCGACATGTCCCGCCTGAAGCAGCAGAAGGGGACGTGGCCGAGACTGCGATGCCTTCAGGTGGTTGCCTGGATATGGCAGACTTGGCAGAGCAAGGAGGTCCAGCTCGCCAGCATGGCTCATGTGTGGGTTTCCTCAATGCGCACGTCAACTTTGATCTTGTTTTGGCACGTTTTGGGGTGGGGTATGTCTTTGTTCTGTGCGCGTGTTCGTGCGTTGGACCTGTGAGCTAAAACCTGAGTGAGAAGGGCATGCTCTGGAGTATCAAGATCCCTGATCAGCCAATTTGCCACCCCATAGATGCTTGCTGTCCGCCTAAACACCTTCAACTCGAGTACCCCAACTCAACCACGACGGCACCAGAAATCCTTGGTAAGGCATTCTGAAGCGAACAAGCTCCAAGCTTTTGCCGGCTTTTCGGCAGGTTATCCAGCTATACCTCAGCAAACCACAGCCAGGCAGCCTGCAGTTTCCAGGCTGGAGCGCAGGAGGGTGCGGGCTACAGGCACTTTTTCATGCAATGGAGGCAAAGCGAGCGGAAGCAGCAGAAGAAGAAAGCAAAGCAGGCCTGGCAAGAGAAGTTCAGGGTGTCCCTATTTTTGCGAGAGTTTTGTCCATTTGGTTCGGGAGTTTTTTCCATTTGTTCCCGGCGGTGCGCGGCAGCAGGGAAGCAGGGAAGCAAGGCAGCAAGCCAGAAAATTAGCAGAGTAGGCAAGCCGCAGGCAGGCAGACAGGCAGTACGCAAGCAAGCAAGAGAAGAAAACGAGCAGAGACAGCAAGCAAGCAAGCAAGCAAGACGGGAAAGCAAGCAAGCAGTTACGCTGGAGAAGGAGTACGCAAAGCGAGCAAGCAAGCGAGCAAACATGTATTCACACAAGCAAAAATACAGGAAAGGATGGCCGCAAGCAAACATTACCATAAATTTTTATTGCTTCAATCTATCAATACTACTACTACTACTACTACTACTACTACTACTACTACTACTACTACTACTACTATGACGATTACGATAACTACTACTCTCACCAGTACTAGTACTGTTGCTATGAATGTTACCTTTCTAGTATTGCTTCTGCCGCTATGACTTTTGCGAACACCATAAGTGTTGCTATTGCCAGTACTGTGACTAGTACTGTTAGCATTGCTTTTCTCGTTACTATTACTCGTGCTGTCAGTAGTGTTGCTGTTGCCATTGCTATTACTAGTACTACTACTTCTAATTTTCTCGTACTGGTACTAGTACTGGTACCATTACTCTTACTCTGACTCGTGCTCTTACTTGTGCTCTTACTCTCACTCGTGCTCAAGCTCTTGCTCTTTCTCTTACCCTTAGTCTTAGTCTTGCTCTTACCCTTACTACTATTAGTACTACTACTACTACTACTACTACTACTACTACTACTACTACTACTATGGCGACTACTACTTGTACCAGTACTAAGACGATCACTACTAGTGTTACTATGGCCATGACTAGTCTTTTCTTCTTCATTATTACAAGTATTAATACAGGGAACTCGGTGCGACTTGTTTCAGCTGGGCGGGTGGCAAACATACTACTATATCGTTCTTACTACTACTGGTCTGCTGTTGTTAATAGTAGTAGCACTGCGAATATTATCAGTTTCCGTAAAAGTATCGCTATCCATGCTACCAATACTTTTTCTCGCAGTAGTACTAGTATCACTACAGTTGTTGCTGGCGTTGCTCTTGCAAGTGTTGTTGCCAGAGCTGCTACTAGTATCAGTACTACTTACATCATTATGTATGTTTATGTCTATTGCTACCACCATGCGCTATTAATATTATTGGCACATTTTTAACGGCATTAACTACGATTACGACTACTACTACTGCTGCTACTACTACTACTACTACTACCACCACCACTGCGTCGACGACTACTACTATTACGACTATTCTTACTACTACTAGTACTAGTACTAGTATTTCTAGTAGTACAACTAGCACTAGTGCTACTGCTAAAAATAGTACTAGCTTCAAGTATAGTTACATTAATCCTACAAGTAACAGCAGAAGAAGAATTAGTAGTAGCAGTAGTAGTACCAATAGTAATAGTAATCGTCAGAGTCAGAGTCAGAGTAAGAGAGTAATAGTAGTAC